GTATGTTTGTTAGTGTGTATTACGATTGACTCGCCCGATAAAAATTGTGGGGCACGAAAAAAACCTGCGCACCATTTTGAGTCGATCGATTTTTTTTTTTTTTTTTTTTTTTTTTTTAATTCTTATCTTTCTCTTATTAGCTTAGCATTTTTATTTTTATTTTTATTTTTATTTTTATTTTTATTTTTTATTTTATTTTACCTAAAATGTCAACGGCATTTAAACTTTCGCGTATAAGTATATAAACTACGATATACGCCAGCTATATCGTCTATTTGTCTAAAATCTAATTAACAAAGTCGTATTTTTATTTTATTCTTCGATAAATTGTTTTTTTTTCTTTTTTACTTCTTCTCATAATTTATATATATATATATATATATATATATATATATATATATATAAATTATAAGAAATTATAACTATTGTTATAATTGTATCTCCTCACTCTCACTTTCAAACTATATTTATAATATGTACACGCAAGCCTAAATGTGGATAAACGTTCGTTTTATTTGTTATTAATTATTATTATTATTATTATTATTATTATACTTTCTGTTCGATCATCGTTGATTTTCATTGGACAAATCCTCGAATATCTTGATCGAATCAATATATGTATATATATATATATATATATTATTTGTAATCATAATTTACATTATTTTATCTCTATAACTCAACTGTTTGTTGTATTATAAAAAAAATACATAACAATTATATTACGTAAAATATATGAAACAATTGATATAAGTGTAATTATATTATATACAAGTATAAGTATAACTTATATTTAATAAAAATTCAATATTATATATACAAATATGTATAATTTATATTTAATCAAAATTAATCTGCGAATGTATGAAGTAATTATTAATTATTTTAAGATAACAAATGAAATAATAATTTACAAATACTTTTATACATATATATATATGAATATTAAACTAATATAATATGTAAATTGCATCAAATTATAGAAATATTGGGATCTCTAGCACTTGAATACGCTATCTGGTGGCTAAATTCAAAATTAGAGTAGATAGGTCGAAATGCTACGCCACATGGTGGGATCTCTAACACTTGAATACGCTATCTGGTGGCTAAATTTAGAACTAGAGTAGTTAGGAGGAATTGCTGACAGTTGATTTAAACTACACGTTATTTATGTGGAAATATTTATATTTTTAATTTTACGATTTGCACTAGTTATTTCATGTGAATTATTATCTTTAATATGTGAAGTTTGTAAATAAAAAAACTAAAATATTTTTAATATTACAATCACCACTTGGTATTTGTGATACACTTTCACCATCAACAAAATTTTCATTGCTTAGTTTTGTGCAAGTAAATTTACAAATTTCTCGCAACCTAAGTTTCATTTTATTTAATTTAATTACAAACAAAAATAATTATAATGTTATAAACGTTGTTCTCTATTTTGGTTATACAAGTAATGCACAGTATCATCCAGTCTCTAGTTCATATTTTGGCCGCTAGGGTAAGCCACGCCCCTGCCAAAGATCCCAATATAGTTGTTTATTCTTTTAAATAATTATCTAATAATTAAATTTAAATTTGAATTGGTAAATACTAAAAAAAAAAAAAAACATTAAATAAAAATATAACCAGAAATATAAAAGAATAATTCGATGATCAACTATATATATATATATATATATTTATATATGTGTGTGTGTGTATGTGTACGAACGTGAATCCACATAAGTACGCGCAAATAAATATCATATATATATATGATATATGAATATATATATATGAATATATATACACATCATAATTACAAGATATATACACCTAATATTGCTGTTTGGCTTCCTCGCGAAATACGACGTGCCATTATTAAATTATAATATTTATATTTATATTTATATTTTTATATTTATATTTATATTTATATTTATATTCATTTATTATTATTAATAATTATCTTTATCTTGTTTTTTTTTTTTTTTATATTCATCTATTTGAATTAGCACGTCGATCATTCGCCCCGTCGTTTATATTTAAACGACCATGATCAAATTCTCGTTTAGCAAGCGTTTTCGATTCTCACTCGAAGATAATTAATTTATAATCTCCTTATATTTCATTCGTTTTAAAAGTTTAAATAGAAATGCGGCCTATGAACGTCGGCGGATTAATCGGTGGTATCAAAGCAAACGCTTACATTCTATTGGTTGTGCTCGTGTGTGATCTCTCATTCGTAAATGTATCAAACGAATGATTAAGATGTATTATTATTTCTTTTTATTTTTTTTTTTTTTTTTTGATTAAATTAATTTGAAATGAAAATTTGTTTATAATTTCTCGTGACAATCTGTATCATCAATTTCAATCGATGACGACGACGAGAAACTATCAAAATTTCCAATTTAGAAACTATTATGTTCTTAACACTTTAATGGCTGTTCACACAACATGTGTGTGTGTGATGAATTATAATTTTACATGTAGCTGATTATTTTAATAATTACCACACAATAACAAAAATATTGAATTTATTATTAAATCGCTATTGTTTTATTATTTTATATGTATGTTCGCACATTGTTGTATTATTTCGTGAATTTCAATCAAATTTCTTTCATTTAATACATCAAAAAAAAAAAAACATATTGTGCCAGCACATATGGCAACATTTGACTAAGTAGACGTGTGACCATTAAAGTGTTAGGTATGGTATATTTGATTTATATATAAAAAAAAAAAAATAATAATAATAATACATCGTATTATCTCGATCGAATATTATTGGAGATCGTTAACGAATGATCTATGGGCTCGCGAATAGATCCGCCGTCAAATGCGTGTAAAGCGTCAGATGCACATCGCTCGTATATTATATAACGTTGATTTCATAAACTCGGAATAATTTTCGATGTCTCTCGAAGAAGCCGTTGCAAAGTTGGATAATTCATTATGGATCCATCCATCCATCCATCCATCCATCCATCCATCCATCATTCATTCATCCATCCATCCATATTTCCATCCTTCCTTCTGATCACACGTAACTCGTTAATTAATTGAGATAATATCATCGAGTCATCATCTTAAATTAATAATAAATCTCATTTCAAATCATTATCATCATATTACTTCTCTTTTGTTTTTTTTTTCATTATAGTTTATTATTATAATTTGTTTGTTTGTTTGTTTGTTTTTTTTTTTTTAATATCTTTTATTTTATATTTTTATAATATATTATTTATCGTGTCCTTTTTATTTGTTTTCATTTTTTCTTTTTTTTTTTTTTTCATTCGAAATAATTATTATTTCGTTCATATGTGTACGCGCAAAATGAATGTCACTTCGAGGAAGCAGCAATTTAGCGAAAAATATTTAACGGGTCCTTGAAGTTACATATATTTTACGTTTATAATAATTGTATTAGATTCATCACGAAACATAGTCCGAACTAAGGGGGATGAGAAATTAGGCTAACTTTATTGGCCTAATTGATAGTTCCCCCTCCCCCTTTCTCTTGCCCCCCCCCTTGTATTCTATTGTGTTACTTAGAAAGAAGGGAGTGTGTGTATTTTCTTATTATATATATATTTTTTTTGTTATTGTTTAATTATCGCGAAGGATTAATTAATTTTAATTTGAACAGAAGAACCATCCCACCCAGATCGAGAATTAAGAAATGAAGAGAAGTAGAAGAAGATGATGAAGAAGAAGAAGAAGAAGAAGAAGTAGGGATATAGGAAAGATGAAAGGATTTAGGATTAGAAGGAATTAAGGATTAGATCGGAAGAACTTTCAATAATATTCTCTAGGCCTGGGTGGTGGCCTTTTTCGTTCGGACCTATCGGTCCTTTCGGTCCTCTCAGTTCTTTCAGCACTGGCACTGCTAGCCTCGCGATCGTCAGTACATTCTAACATTTGTGTAGTTTCCGTAGCCTCCGAGGGACTAACCGGTTGGGTTGCTAAAGGTGCGAGAGGCGCAGCACCCTTGTTACGCGATTTACTTCTTCGTTTTCTTAAAATCAAAGGTCCAAGTGCACTAGAATCGTCACCTCTTGAGGTTGATGCTTGGGTAAGTCTTTCGAGAAGTTCTTTGCTAACTTCTCTCGAGGAAGTTTTATATTCGGAACTACCCGACAGTCTATCCGAATCTTTTGGCTGTTGATGATGGTGGTGATGATGGTGATGATGTTCTTGGCTCTTTGAACTACGTTGTTCTATAGGCTGTGGTTGTTGTTGTTGTTGTTCTCTGTAGCCTTCGCTAGGCGTTGTAACAGTAGTACTCGTAGATGCCTTCTGTTCTGACGTTTGTATACCTTGAGGAGTACTTTGTTGTTGATTCACTTGCATTTGGCAAGATAATTGATTTTGAGCTGAACTACTCGATGGAAAATTCGAGGGTCTTTGCTGTTGTTGTTGTTGTTGCTGCTGCTGTTGCTGTTGTTGTTGTTGTTGCTGCTGTTGTTGTTGGGAAATACCTGTACCACTTGGAGGAGTTGCAGCAAATGGAACTCGACTTAACAAAGTTTGCAGCATATCTTCCATCTTAGCAAGCCTTTGATTCACTCTTTGCACTTCGAGCTTTAAATCAACCTTCACTTCCAATACTGCAGCAAGAATTTCACGATCGTGACTAGGCTGAGTCGATATCAAACCACCATCGTAACTTTCCAAACGTCGTAATTGTAATTGTTTCGAATCAACCGTAAGATTTTGAGATGGTTGTTGTGGTTGTTGTTGTTGTTGTTGCTGTTGCTGTTGTTGTCCATCTTTATCAGCATTGTCTCCTCCACCTGTTTCTTCTATCGTACCACCTAACTTTCCGAATTTTGGAAAGACCTTGTTCGTACCGGTACTAGAACTTGGACGTGAGTCTCGTGCACTTAATGATCTCTTGAACGTGTCACCAACCGTACCTGTTTCACTACCAGAGTCCAAACTGGAACTACCTGTGTACGATCAAGAATATATATTTATAATACAAGTAACAAATTAACATTTTGTTTAATGATCAGCATACCTAACAATCTTCCCCATTTGCCGGTTCGAGGTTTGGCAGCGACATTCTCATCGGTGGACGGTTTTCTCGAATGCGATGATTCGCCATCTTTCCCATCCTTACTGTCCCCTTTCTCAACGTCTGCCGTATGTCTCTCTCTACGAAACCTGTGTAAAAGAAAATCATTGAGACGATAAGAATCATCGTTTACAATTTGATGCTCCTTTTTTTTTTTATTATGGAGCGTACACAAAGGTGTATATATTTATAATTATATTGTATATATATACAGGATACGTAAAGGCTGGTTCATCTAGGCAATTATTTGGGGAAATCAAAAGACAGTGTGTACAATTATAAGAGGATGGAAAAGTTAATAATTAGTTTCATTCTCGTGTTAACAAAAAAACACGTTTATACTTTTATTCACCCTCTCTCTCTTTCTTTCTTTCTTTTTCTTTATTTTTTTATTCTTTTCTTTTTTTTTGCAATGCATCGTCAATCATCAATTGGCAGTCAATAAATTTGAATGGGGGGCGGGGGGTGTTTTAGAGGGCAACGGGCAGAAGGGGCAGGTTCGTGGGAACTTTGTTTTTTTGCACGGATTCAAGAAACTGGTTCTTGTAGCAAATGCGAGATCGTTCTACTTAGGCTAGAAAAGGGGGTATAAACAGCTCCAGCGGTGTTCACGAGCAACCTACTTTGGTGTGCCTACGGGATTCAAATATCAAAAATAGTATCGTCGGTAGTGACCAAAAATGACGATAATAAAAAACATACGGGAAAACGAGCGACATCGGTGAACAATTATATTAAATTATATTTTAAATATTATTTTTAATTTTTTTTACTTTGTGTTAATTTTTATTTGTTGATAATAATTAGGTACTCGTGATTTTCGAATTTTTCTAATGTAAATTTGATTGTAGGATTTAACGAATATCAATTTTCATTTGAACGTTCACCGACGTAACAAAATATATAATGTCGTAATAATAATAATAATAATAATAATAATAATAATAATAATAGTAATAATAATAATAATGAGATAGTATAACATGCCGCTTGAAAAAATTTGAGAATGACTTTGAGAAATTTAGCAGAGCGCCTGCAAGCATCGTGTGCATTTAAAAAAGATATATATATATATATATATATATATATAAAAGCATGAATTATAATAATTCATAAGTGACGTATCGTGATAGCCTTTTTTTTTTTTATACAGTGTGTGTATGTATATATCTCACGTTTGTTAATTATTTGAGTAAAAATTTGTTTGAAATGTAATCACATGCAGCAGGTGAAATTATTGTTATTAATTTCGTTTGTTTTGTTTTTATTGTATTTTCTTTTTAATTATGACAAAGCTGGGAGCATTCTCAATATTTCTCGAGCGGCCTTACGATAATAATAATAATAATAATAATAATAATTGTTATTCAAAAATATTTAAATATATATATATATAGGTGACAGAAATTAGAATCCTAGAGTGTGTGTGTTAGAGTCACATGCATCCTGCGTTTAATTAAATTAATCGAAAATAATCGGATGCTCGAGACTTATCACAAATTCGATATTTCCTTCACTTCAGTTTTTTTTTTTTTTTTTTTTTTTGTTAATTATTAATAATAATTATTACATTAAATATCAGAGTGTAACAAAAGAAAAGAAAAAAGGAAATAATTTTCGAAGTGAAAAAAATACGAGAATTGTTAAAATTGATTGATAAAAAGTTTCCCTTTGAAATATTAAATAAAATATATATTATATAATATATAGTTATATTAATATATTTTTTTATATTGGGATCTCTAGCACTTGAATAGGCTATCTGGTGGCTAAATTTAGAACTAGAGTAATTAGGAGAAATTGCTGACAGTTGATTTAAATTACACGACATTTATGTGGAAATATTTATATTTTTCATTTTATCACTTGCACCAGTTATTTCATGTGGATTATTATCATTAATATGTAAAGTTTGTAAACAAAAAGCTACAATATTTATAATATTACAATCATCACTTGGTACTTGCCCACACTTAATCACATATCCAACATTTAATACACTTTCACCATGAACAAAATTTTGATTGCTTAGTTTTGTGCAAGCAAATTTACAAATTTCTCGCAACCTAAGTTTCATTTTATTTAATTTAATTACAAAATAATAATAATAATAATATAAATAATAAATAATAAATAAATAAAATATAAATAATAATATTATACACGTTGTTCTCTATTTTGATTATACAAGTAATGCACAGCATCATCCAGTCTCTAGTTCATATTTTGGCCGCTAGGGTAAGCCACGCCCCTGCCAAAGATCCCAATATATATATGCAGTGAATAAAAGATGCGCATGACCTCCTAAAAGGCATAATATTTTACAGCACTCTAGCATTCGTCAAAATTGCAGTGATCGTTTAAAATGATAAAGATTATAATATAATATATATATATATATGTATGTATGAATGAATGAAGTGAAACACATGGTTCATCTCGAAAAGGTACGTACGTTAAACGAAAATATACACACACACTCACACACACATAAATTTAAACTATCATCATCATCATCATTTTATAATAGTTGTAATTTATTGAAAATAACGTGTCGTACCATTTCGAGTTAAAGCAAAACTCGCTCTGTGAATGATATTATAATTAAATATAAGCAGCTTACTAAAAAAAAAATTCATTTATGTACATCGTATCATCGTATCAATCAATTTCTACAAATTATTATTATCATTATTATTATTATTATTATTATAGAAAATAAATTTATTAAACATGATTAAGATTAAGATAAAATTATTATACGATGTTCATATAAATATCACGAGCGAGTTAGCCGTGCGACAAACTTACATATACATGTATATATATATATATATGTAGTTTGTATTTGGATGCGTGAAAGTGTGTATTAATGACTTACGATTGTATGAATCATTTCATCTAGAGTAGATATATATATATATATCATATTTACACGAGCGAAAATAATCGCATTATATATATATAAAATAGAAAAAAAAATATCATAATAAAAATAATAATAATAATAATAATAATAACAATTAAAGATGAAAATGAATAATAATAAAATTATAATTGAAATAATAATTGTAACATATAATAATAATTATAATAAAAGATAGTATAATATATGTATACATATGTATATACATATATTATATACGTAATAAGTAGCAAAAAGATGGACGGAAAAAAGAATGGAGAAGAGAAATAAATACGTAAGAAATGAAATTGCCTAAAACTGGGCCAGGGCGGCAGGACGTTCACGGTGAGTTCCTCATCTGAATCCTGTTGGGACCGTGTTGAAACGACTTTGGACACGCTGATTTGGGCTTCTCCTTCGGTCTTGAACCTTTTTCAACAAGAGGCCAGCCAAGCAACGATCAAAATTCACATCAATGAATCAAAAATAAAGGAAATGGAATAAATATGGTATGCATCAGTAGTTGTGTGTGTTTACACATGTGTGCCTTGTGAAACAGAAAAATAATATAACCAAATTTCTCGATCATCATATTTTACAATTAATTATTTTATATAATAGATGTAAATATATATATACACACATGTGCATATGCACAGGGACAGGCGCACGCATACCTAAAAAAAAAAAAAAAATAACTCATACGTGTTCTCTCTTTTATTCGTTCACACATTCCATTTATTACATATCCATAATTTTGATTAGATTTAGTCACTGTCTCTTCTTGAAAACGGTTATGCATATATTCTGATTGAAGTAGCCATCTGTAATTTTATGAATTATTTTGATCATAGTAAACGTTGATAATTAGTTTCTTTTGTTTTTTTTTTTTTTTTAAATTTATCACCGTTTTCCAAGAGATATTTCCCATTCGATTCCATTCTTCATATTCTTCTCTCTCTGAATGTGTTCATGGTTAAATGACATTTCATTTCTGTGTGTATTGTGTATGTTTGATTCGTACAAATCAATTTATATTCCGTCGGTTAAATCAGGGATTCCCCCTAACTCGTTATGGTTCTCGAGCCATTTTATTGTATACGAGTGTTGAAAATAAGCACAATGTTACTTAAATAACGCACAAGAGAGATACGTACGACGAATAATAATAATACGCACGAGAGAGAGAGAGAGATCGTATTTTTTGTTTTTTTTTTTTTTAATAATTAAACGTTTGCAATTTCTTATTTTCTTTTTTCTTTTTTTTTTTTTTGGTACTTTAATTATTCAACAAATTTTATCATAATCGTTAATGAGTTAATTAATGACAAGAAAAAAAATAAATATCATATAATTATGATATTAAATAATTGTAAGACAATTTTTTATGATTATTTTTTTGTTTGTTTGTTTAAAATTGCAAACGTAAAATATATATATTTTTTTTGTTCTTTGAAAATTCTCTCGTACGATGCTTCCCATCCTTCGTACATATAACAAATAAATTAGCGATACGTGACACAATTAAAAAAAAAAAAAAAAAAAAAAAAACAAACAAATTTAGCTGAAAATCCTAAAATTGCATGCATCGATACGCGAACGATTTGTCTTCGTTGATTATTTTCTTGTTGTTGTTGTTGTTCTAAACAACTACAAAAATCTCTGTAAAATTGTTTGACATTCAATGGAAATTTCCTCATCTTCCATTTAATGAATCTTACTTTGTATAATTGACTTTTTTTTTTAATTAATTATTATTACTCATGCAATTTTTGATTTAAGTCAATTATCCGATTTTTAACAAACTATGCGATATATATTTTAATTAAGTTTCTTTATTAATTAATCATCCTATTGTTAATTAATCGTGTCGCTTTCGTGTGAAGATATTTAAAATATAATTTGATATAATAATAATAAAAAAGAAAAAAAAAACAAAAACAAAATGAAAAAAGAAATTTCTATTTAATATTCAGATAACAAAATTTGAATCGTGAAAGTTCGGAATAGTTCGAGTATCATCGTTGCGTATCAAAGCACGTAAGTAGAATTTACATGTAATACGAGAAACCTTATTTATATGTATATATATACGTGTTATATGCATGTATACATATAGATCAGATTTATTACATAATATAAAGCGAGAGAATTGGATCGCGTTTTGTTGAAATTGTTAATTTGAAATATTTTTGATCAATGCATTATTCCCTGTTATTGTCTAATTTTAACGATCATATTCTCGCGCCAATTTTCATTTTTTTTTTTTAAATGACGAAGAGACTAGGGCAATGGCAATCATGGCGGCTGCCATGATACAATATATACGACAATATTTTAGGAAATTATATAAAGGAAATAATATAACGTGTTCTTTTTTTTAATTTTATTTTTATCGTGGTCTTACCTCGAAAAAATTTTGCGAACTAAATGATCCTGTGCTTGATCCAACTGTGGCTCATTTTTTCGTCTTTCAGCAAGCTCCTTTTCACGACGTACGTCGGCCACTTTTCGAAAGATCAGCTGTACAAACAAACAATTATCGATTTTTTATTTACATGTATATAAATTTTCAATATAAACGATCCATTGTTTTATCACTGATCGAATCATTCAATTGTTTTATTACTTTTTATATAATAAAATAATTTAAAATGTTATTTATCAATTTTAACAATGATAGAGTTAACGCAATTAATTTATTCCGCTCTATTTTACATCACCACCATCATTATCGGTGAAACATTATGAAAATAAATTTCTTTACATGCACGCACAATCGATCTTATAAAAACGCTTTTAATTATTATTTATAAGAGCTTTAACTACGATCAAGTATGACAAAAATAAAATCAGTTTGTGATCCTGTTTTTTTTTTTATTTTATATACATATATGTATATTATTTTCTTTTTCCCGCGTAAAAGAAATATTACATAACCTTGCAAATGTTTAACAGCATAGCAGACAGAATGTTATTTAAAAAAACGATATGAATGTTTAATTATGCGAGAGTGTATTTTTTTACTCGATGTATCGTTAAAGTGATGACATTTGGAAAAAAAAAAGAAGAAAGAAATATTTTAAATGGTGAATATCAATGAGAATTTAACGAACGGTAAATAATATTCCGGTAGGTAATAGTAATCGTTCGTGAAATAAATGGCATCCGAGAAAACTTTTCTCCATAAAAGAAAGAGAGAGAGAGAGAGAGAAAGAAGTAAAAGATATAACAATAACACGATGAGCTTTTAGTTTTCCGTTCGTAGGTTTTTCAAATGTTTACATAAATGGTATTATTGCGCGAAACACGCGAAAAGAAAATAGATCAAATCTTGGAGAGTCTACAGGCCCGGGGTTGCGTCGGCGCATGCGTCGTGACTTTAGTCGATAGGCGCATAAGTAACGGCACACAGTAGTTCTCGTAATCGACGTTGTTACGTTGTCTTAACCTCAAAGTTAAACATTCCCATCGTTTTAAACATTTTTATATTACTTCTCAAGTCATCTTTCTAACAAGGTATAATTAGTGAATACAACAAATGCAATTGGATTTTAATCGAATAATTGAAAACATACGAATTCTTGGCTAATTTTACTTTTTCGTTGTTTCTTTGTGAGTATTGTTGTTTTGTTTTGCTTTTTCTTATATTTTTGGCTCGAGTTGAACGAATAATAAGTGCTGAGAGAAAAGTTTATGGCTCGTCGTATAGAAGATAACATTCGTTTGAAAGGTTCGTATCTTTTAATTTGGTTTTATATGTTCGATATTTGTTCTCTTGGTTTTTTTTTCTTTCGAAATCAATGAAAGTAAAGGAGAAGTTTTCTTCTTCTTCTTCTTCTTCTTCCCCATCCTCGATTTTTATATCACTTTTTTATTTCCTTTTAAAAAGAGACGATCGTTCGGTTCGTACGGATCGACGAAATTGAAACTTCTTTTATCGTCGTATTTTCCACTCAAATGATTTTACGATGCTTATATTTATGAGAATGTTTAGAGAGATAAAAGTATCTAGATTTTATGATAGGAGATAGATGGTTTTATCTTTGAAGTGTTTTTGATGCATTTTGTAATAGTAAGTAGTAGTAGTAGTGACATATATTGTTTTAGTCGTACACTCTGAAGATATTGCAGTGAAATTTTGTACAATTTGTTAACTAACAATAAGATTTAAGAGCCATTTTCAATTGTTTTGTTTCTTATTAGTTTTTCTTTTTTTTTCTTTTTTTTTTTTTTATAAATGTAATTTATGACAATTGAAAGTAAAAAAAAAAAAAGAATATTCTAACAAATAGAAGAGTGAACAAATGAAAACGTATCTGATATACAATTGGTGTTTTTAGATGGGTCATGGATCAAGTCGTTCCGCTTCTTCTGCAAATATTCTATCCGCAGAAGAATTAACATTGGTGGACAATCTATTTAAATCAATGTCTAGGAGTTCAGGTTCAATAAAACGTGAGGATATATTTAAACACTGGTCGATGCATTTGGATGATGTATTATTACAATTTGTCGTAAGATTTCTATGTCATGAACCTGGTAAAAAGGTGTCCGCTGTAAATGGAGAAAATTTTGGTCGTTTGTATGTTTATGCTGTACGTGGTAGTGCAGGTGAACGTACCGATTTGATATTTGAAGGATACTCTGAAGAAGAGCAAAAAGTTGAGATACCTACTGCCACATTTCTTCAATATATTCAAGCTACTATAAATTCATATTTAAGACTGCAAAAGAATGCCGCTAATTTGCATTATCTATCATGGAGTAGTATTGGTTGTACTGTAAATAATAGACGTATTAATATGCGTTCTCGTAGTCTGTGCGAAGATATTATCAAATACGGTGATGTGTTGACGGTTGATCAGATACAAAATTGGTTTGCTGCAGCTGCTACGTTTAAAAATATTCAATCACACGTATTTCAGTGCCTTTTCTTAGTTACACAGAAGAAAGGAGATAAAAATACGAGTGCACGAATTAATGAATTAAATCTATTACCTGTTTGTAAAGGTTTAGAAAATATTCCACATTTTCCAAGTATATTAGGACTTGGCGATGTTCTGTTCTTAAACTTAAGTTTACCTCATGAATTAAGAAAAGAATGGAGATTTTTATTTTCTACTCAAGTACACGGAGAATCATTTTCCACAATGTTAGGAAGAATAACAATGCAAGGTGCAACAATTATAATATTACAAGATACGGATGATCATGTATTTGGTGGTTTTGCTCCAGATAGTTGGAGATTAGGACCAAATTTTATAGGAAATCATACGTGCTTTTTATTAAAACTTGAACCAGATATTTTAACGTTTCCATCTACAAGTTATAATAATCATTATCAATATTTGAATTTTAATCAACAAACTATGCCTAATGGTTTGCTTATGGGTGGACAATTAAATTATCCAGGATTATGGATAGATAGTGAATATGGTATTGGTAAATCAAGCATATCCTGTACAACATTTCAAAATTATGTGCAATTAAGTGGTCAAGAAAATTTTAAAATCAAGCATTGCGAGGTATGGGGTGTTGGTCCAATACCAATCGTTGAAGAAGACGTACGAGAAAATAAATCTGTTTTAGATCAAGATCCAACAGCTAAAGTATTGATGGAACTTCATGGACGTAAAATGCATAGCGAAGGAATCAGAGATAAAAAAGACTAATTGATGAAACGTTAACATTTAATGATTATTGTATAAGACTCACGTGTTATTATTAAGTATATTATATGTTTGTCATTGAAATTGTTAATTGAAATGAAGATTTATTGAAAATTAATCAATCGAGATTATATATATATATATATAATAATAAAGAAAAGAATTTTATGAATGCTTAAAAACAAAATATAAAAATTACTAATTCAATATTTAGTTTTATATTTTACAGTAACAAAATTAATTTGAGAGTGCAATAAAAACGATCTATATGTTTTGAATCAACAAATATTTACTAATTAGATTGTATACGTATGTTAAATGAATCAGATATATCACTTTATGGAAAAAAGTTTGTAATCAACTAAATTATATTGAAAGAAATGATCGTTTTTGTCTATTATGTCTGTATTATATATTGTCTATGTATAATGTTCAAATGATATAGTAGTTACACATTATATATATATATATATGTTATACTATGTTAAATAAGTTTGTATATCTTTCTTTATTGTGTACCTATTTATTTTATACAGTGTATGACAAAGTATCGTCAACAGACGGCCTGATCTCTTTTAATATATATATATATATATCATCTGAATGTTGTATAATATGTATATTAAACACTGCGTTTTGATGTTTGAGAAAGAAGCCATAAAATACGCAGTAATTTACATGCCTATTATATAGTGCCTGATCATTTGAAATCAATGATCATGAAGGTGTGTTTCGTAACTACTAGTCAATGTAAAGATATTTTCCTCGCAAATTGCTAATCACGGATGTATAATATGTATACAATGTTCGTTAAAAATGCATAACACATAAAATAAAACAAAAATAATGAACAACAATTGTTCATTCATTTAATGTGAATTCAATAAAATATTGAGAAAAAATAAAATAAAAAACAACAAAATGTACAAATCTTTTGTTTCAATCGTCTAAAATACATTTCTTTGCATGTTACGTATATACATTTTTATCACATGTTAAATAAAGAAAATGAATGAATTTTGAGATAACTCACCCGATTGCTTAGATTGTACGTTAATACAAGATTTCTGGCGAAGGAATTTGCGAAGGCTTGATAAAAATCCAAAACTTCTAACAGTCGATCACGCTTAATGGTATGAAGATCACAATAAGTAAGTGCTCTAACGTTAGCTGCACTCTGTCCAATCGTTGGGTTCGTCCAAAAGCTGTCTCCAAAGACATCCCCTTTTCCAAGTATTGCTACTACCTCATCGTCTTGTATCACTTCTAGGCTTCCGGTGACGATGAAGCACAGCGAGTCGATAGATTCACCTGTGTGATAGAGCAGATCACCAGGTGCACTGTGCGACATTGTAAAATGCATTGCTAAAGCACGTAAGCATCCATCGGATGCCAACCTGGACAACATTGATAATAATACGTTATTAGTAATTGACTTCTCTAATTGATGATTAATCTATAAAGATTTATTAAAAGTAATGAATTGTAATATAATATTTGCTTACCTGAAAGCAGGATGTTCATTGAAAACTTTCCGATTAAGATGTACGCAAATATCGGCTTTCATATCTTTGGGGCAGTAGTTAAGCACCTTGTCTGTATCTAGGCCTTTGGTCATTGCCCATGTACTTATTACATAATCCATGACACGTTCGCTAAGTGCCTTAGGTACTTCATGGAGTCTCATGAATTCCCGGACGTTGTTTAGCATGTCATGATATTTGGCGGTGGATGCCGTCATTTGTTGAATTATGGTGGTAACGTGACCAAATATCGTAGCATACAGCAAGGCTAATAATTAAGAGAGATAAATATCATTGGATTGTTTCATCAATGTACATTTTGTCATCCTTTTATTATTATAATTTCATACCGGCAATGATCATCATGCAGATAGTAAAGATCTTCTCATTATCTGTTTCTGCTGCAACGTTTCCAAAGCCGACGGAAGTCATGCAAGTCATCGTGAAATACAGAGCAGTTACATACATCGTGTAGCGTGATGGTCCAGCTACTAGTTCTGGTGCAGTGCTGGTATTGGTCCACAAGTAGTTGTATGGTGTCTGGGTAACATTGGCCAATTTCCACAGCCATGAATATTGAACTCCATTGTCAGCATCCGATCTTCCTATCGAATACCTTCAAGGCAATGACATTTCTTACAAGAAAATTTGGACATCCAATTGAATTTTACAAAGAACAAATATACATAAATATAAAAAATAAATCTTTAATCAGCTAACAACATTGAATCCTCTAAATCTAAAAATATAATGCGATCTTCGGCTTTGTTTATCAATTTGTCAAGTGTTGTTTATTTGTCCATTTTTATAAAGCATGATTTTTTCGCATGCTGCTTACAAAATACCTCGAATGACAATGATGCAAATACGACAAAGCGATTTTATTATTATAAACAATATATATATATATATATATATATTAGCAATTTTCAATTTATTTTAGCGCCTTTTAATTTAAACTTTGCAGATAAATACGCGAAGCAACTCAAATAGAAATACAGCAATAAATTGCGACAATGTGTGTCACGTATAATGTTTGTATGAAGTGTATGTGTGTATGTATATTTTGTTGTTGTTGGTTGTATATGAAGCCAATTTTCCCATCAAGATTACATTTTCCCATCAAGTGTTACCTTGAAAGTGTGTACGCAGAGTAAAATCACCTTAATGTGACGTACCAGATACAGGCTAGCCAGTGAGCAACCAACATGTAGAAACAGAGGAGTAGAATGAGCATGGCGGCTCCATACTCCAGATACCGATCGAGTTTGCGAACGACTCTTCCAAGACGAAGTAAACGGACGACTTTCAAAGCTGAGAAAAGACTACCTATACCATCCTCATCGTGATCGAATGCGTTGAACACGTCGTAAGGTAGGCAGCTCAATAGATCGATGATGAACCAAGATTTTAAATAATTCATCCTGATTACCTATGATTTAAATTTACAGATATTATGACAAATCATGTAAAATAGACAAATAGAAGTAGACAACAACAACAACAACAACAAACAAAATAAGAAAGAATAAAATTAAATTGAAATTACTTTTGGGTCGGACACAACTTCACCACCAGCCCCAACGAACGTAGTATGAAAATTTAATACTATATCTATAAAGAATATGACATCGACTATACTGTCGAGTACCAAAAGTGAAACATCCTCGCTGGTTTTATTTTTAAAGGCAACATTGTACGGAACCATAATAGCTGTGTAAAATGTCAAGCACAAAATAATCCAATCCCAGATCGCTTTGAACGCACAATAGTGTAATAAAATATGTGGTGGAGTCTTTGGTGCTTCCTGTCTGTACTGTGGCATTACATCTCCACTTAAGGACATCATCTGAAAATGTAGAATTATTTTATCAGAAGATTTCGTACACATGAATTCAACTGAAATATGAAGTACCATAACGTTTGAATATTTTTTTGTGAGTTTTATCGTATCACGAAACTTCTATTAAGAATTCAATCGTAAATTCATACGAATTGTTATAAATAATGAATCCCGTTAAAACGTTACTTTATTATATATTTATATACGTTTTTTCTTTTTTTTTTTTTTGATTGATGATAAAATGAAAAAAAAAAAAATATGACAACATACATGAGCTAGATGCGATTGTTTGGTCGTGGTTGGTAAAGCAGTATCCTTCAGAGCCGGAAGGTGGGAGCTGAACTGTGAAACAAGAACCGATCTTGATCTTGTCACCGATCTTGCGAGTTTGGCAAATTTTGATAGACCACCCTTGCTGTCGTCCGTCTCTATGGGTTGCTTTAAAGCTGTGATGTCCCGGAAGGTTAACAGGAACAGGACAACCAAGTCTCGTTCGTTTTTGATCGGTGCTATTTGTAGTAGTAGCCATAGTGGTGTTTCTGCGTACCAATCGAGATAATATATTAGATTACAAACAAATATTTCATTAATAATAATAATAATAATAATAATAATAATATCTAATCAAAAATATTATTCTGATTCTCCTACGAAGATCTAAAATCAAATCAAATCAAATCAAATCAAATAATATTCAACTACATGATAATAAAACAAGGGTAACAAAGTTTACGCAAAATATTTATTAATAAATTTTAAATAATACCTAATTAAATATTAAACCCTTTCTCTATATAAAAATATATATATATGTCGTTTTAAAAATACCTTTCTTTCTGTTTCTGACCAAATTCGGTCATCAGAATCGATGACAGTATTAAATTATTATTAACAAACGATTATCTTTACTTGCATTTTCTTTTGACACATGCTTCTATCCATTGTTTGTAATAATTAGAAAAACAAAAAAAAAAAAAGAAGAGACAAAATAAAATTGGAAAAAGAAAATTCTAACAGAGATTGATAATCATGTATATATATATATACATACATACATAGATATACATAAAAGTCGTGCGCTATTATCTGTGTACTTTAGCAAAGCTTTAGATCAATCAGCTCTAATAAAAGATTAAGCTTGGCGTTCCAATCTTCCTGGATACTGGACATACATACACATACACACACACACACACTCACACATTTATACATTCATACATATACAGACACATATTACTGTGTTCTGTGATCACTCAACGTTTGCCATCATGCTGCTTATGTATCTATAAAGCGGTACAAAATGAACTAACGCAAGGACAACCGACAAACATAATTTAAAGCATATTCCATTTAGCGTTTCCATAACAGAGAGATAACAATGCGTTGACGATGGATACGTCAAAGAGGAGGATGGATCGATGATAGATCAGCCGAAGGCCCCCTGTAATTTCGTGTTTCCAATGTTGGATCAATGTTGCAACGTGTACGTATTTATACACCTCTCTCTCTCTCTCTCTCTCTCTGTATGTATGTGTGTATATGTTTATGTGTTGATATTATCTTTCGTTGCATTTAAAGCCAAGATGCTAATGAGTTTGAGGAAAGAGAGAAAAAAAACATGTTTATGCTAAAAAAAAAAAGAAATAGATTAGACAAAATAATATTTCTCTAATTGAAGAAGACAATTGTTTACTATAATACAGAGTGTTCAATAAAGATTTGGAAATAAACTTATGCTATGTATTATTGAGATTATTTATAATGTTATTGTGTTGAAAATATTTGATTTGTGTGTAATACGTGGTATTAAGTTTGATAACAACTTTTTTTCGGACACCCTTATATATATATATCTATTAGGTGTAGAAATTAATTAGGTGCTTTGATATTACATTTGTTATATTAAAAATCATATTTATTTTTTTTTTAAGGAAAATATAAAAAAAACAAACAAATATTAAATTTGCTAAAAAACAAAAAATATCGAATTAATTGCTACACCTAATATATTATATATATATATATATATAAGGTGTTTCATAATAAGTGATACAATAAATAAAATAATAAATTTTCTAATTGGTGCAAAGTTTACAATAAAAAATCAATAAATAACAGATACAATGCTTCATATTATAAACATTTTGTTATAAATAATCATTTTGCAATAACAATAATATAATATTAGGTATTTTATGTAATATATTATTGTTATTATGAAACACCTTCTTGTAAGGTGTATCTCAGAGATTAACTTCAATATATATATATATATATATGTTACATAGGTGTAATAATTTAAATAGGATTGTTCTCTCTCTCTTTCTCTCTCTCTTTCTTTCTTTATTTTTTCTAAGGCCAGGTGGGCGTGGACGTGCTCGATAAAACTTTCGAATCGATTCTTGGTGGGATTCTCTGAGAGAGGATTATTGTCTTTCGATGCCATTAGTTATCGGTTGTTGCAGTATTATGTTCACCTAAGATCTTGTATTTTTCTATTGGATCATTACTCGAACAAATAATAAGATCTTATTCTTAAGTTAATACAAAGAATCTTGAATAATGTTATATATCTTGAAATTCTATCATCATCATCATCATCATCATCATTATTCTGTATTATTTTTTAGAATTATTTTGTTAATATAATCCTCTATAACATTAAGTAATTGTAAACAATTATACTATGTTACGTTTGATTGTATTTTTAATAGTCAAAAAATAACAATAATTGCACAAATTTATTTAATATTATATAAATTATATTATTAAATATTAAATGATATTTATATCAGAAATAGGGGTGCCCTGTCACGCGTTGCTGTGGCTCACAATCAATCCTATACACACGTCTTTAAATCAACGAATTACCTTATACCACCATCTGTTAGAATCTTATCGAACTAACAACAGAGATAATCATGACTCTTTGTTAATAAACAAATAATTCGATTATAAATTCAGATATAAACTATCCTATCTTTCAAGTTGGATGAAACTGCACACAGTTTGCAAAATTTGATTAAAATCGATTCAGTAGTTTAGGAGTCCATTGCGGACAAACAACGTCACACGTAATTTATATATATATATATATTAAGAAGAAGATTTGACTAATTAATATGTTTTATTATATTATTTAATATTAGTATATAACATTACTTTATATTACCTTTAGTTATGTAATATTCAAATTAGTATTAATGCATAATATTTATGATTACCATTAATAGAAATTATGATAGCTATTATTTCTACTATTACATATAATATAATTGATATTTATTTGCAAATAAATATAATCAAACGAATTTTATACCATTACGTTAATCAGTGCATTACACATAAGTAATGACATCATTTTTATACATATATATATATACATACACAATATTATTCATAAATTATGTCATAGAGGATTAATTTCAGTCTCATAAACTGCATGATGTTCTCTCTCTTTTCACTCTCTCTCTCTCTGTCTCTCTGATTTTTTTTCTCTTTCTAGTAAACGATCAGAGAATTTCTTTTTTCTTTTTCTTCTTTTTTTTCTTCTCTTTTCTTTTCTTGTTCTTTTTTTTTTTTNTTTATATTTCCAGAGTCGTAGCGATTCCATGATGAGTTCGCAAGGAAGGAGAAACTGGGTCGATGCGAATTAACGCGACGACGTATACCGAAGGGTGAGAGGGTAGGACAGGGGGGAGGGGAGGGCAAAGTTCAAATCGTTTCGTTTCTTTCAAGGACCCAAAGAAAATCATCATTGTTCTTCCTGTGATAGACAGGCACATGATACCAACCAAGATACCATGATCTTCGTTTTGTCTTGGTTTTTTTCTTTTGTTTGTTTTTTTTTTTTTTGCTAAAAAATATTCCCCCTCCTCATCGATATTCGATAAAACTTTGTTTTTTTTTTTTTTTGTATTTTTACTAGAAAAAATCGTTGTATTTTTGTATTATTAAAGTTATGTATATGGTATATGTATATCATACATATATACGTAAATATAAATATATACACGTATATAATACTGTAACATTTTTATCTAATCTTTCTTTTTTTACAATAGGTAAACTATCAAATTGGTTTTCTACAAATTTTTCTACAAATTTGTGAGATGTAGTCCCATTTTTATACATTTGTATCAATAAACTTAAACGATAACGAATTTGGAATGCAGTATGGATTGAATGCAAACGAAAAATGCTGGATGATGGACTGGTGTACTTTGGTAAGTTTGAAATAAATAAATATTATTATGTTTAATGTAAAGAAAAAAATAGAAAATAAAAATTGATACTCAATAGGAATAAGATGAAATGAAATAATATTAATATAATAAAAATTAATAAAATGAAAGGTAGTTTTTTTTTTTAATCTTATTTTTTAAGTTAAATGATAGATGATTCTAATATGTATTATTTTTCTTATATTTGGTATTCGATATAATAAAGATGAAATTAATTAATATTAAATAATACAAATTTTAAATTTAAATTTAAATTTAAATTTTAACATTAATAATAAAAATTAATAATAATTAATTAGATGAAAGTTAATTTTTAGTTTTCTATTTTTAGTTAAATGATAAATGATTCTAATATGTATTATTTTTCTTATTTTTGGTATTCAATATAATAAAGATGAAATTAATTAATATTAAATAATACAAATTTTAATATTAATTTTAAATTTAAATTTTAGTTTTAATATTATTAATAAAAATTAATATTAATTAATAAAATGAAAGGTAGTTTTTTAATCTTATTTTTTAGTTAAATAATAGATCATCCTAATATTAATTTTTTTTCTTCTTATTTTTGTTACTCAATAGAATAAATTTAAATTAATCAATATTAATAATAAAAATTAATAATAATTAATAAAATAAATTAATTTTTTTTTATCACCTTTTGTTAATATAAACAATAGATGATCCTAATAATAATTTCTTTTTTAAATTTTGTTTTCTAGAAAAATAAATTACTTATGTTTAATTGAGGATTCACTTTGATATTTTTTTTTGGGGTAAGATTGGGCTGAGGGACTGGTTTTAAAAATCCTCTCTCTCTCTCTCTCTCTCTCTCTGTCTTTCTCTTTCTCTTTTTCTCTCTTTCTAAATTGACAAGTAGTGTATAATAATAATAAAAAAAAAAAAAAGAAACAATACGCATTTCGAGCCGTGTGTTGTCGTTTGATTTGATTTAAAGTTGTTATACTGTGTTAGATTCGAGGCTGACTTACTGGTAGATATTGCGAGCACGCTTTTGCGAACCTGTGTTAGACATACCTCGTGGGGTACCTTTAAACAGAACGATCTTTTATTATTGAGCTCAGGTGTCTGGTCTTTCGACTATTAAAAGAAGGGGACAGAAGTTGGGAATAGAAGATGGAAAAAAAGGATTCGGCAAACTTCGTTCGTTTATTATTATTATTATTTTTCTTATTTTTTTTTTTTTTTTTTCTATTATGTTAAATAATGTTAGTCACAGAATGATGAAAATTAATTTTCAATTCATTCATAATTGTCGAATACGAATCTCACACGTAAAATAATAATTTTGTAATTATTAATTACGCGTTTATTGTAGATAAATGTTTGGCAAAAAATTAAATCATAAATTACGTAATTATTTTATTTATTTATTCATTTTTTTTTTTTAATTAATAAACTATCAATGTTTACTTGTACACATTGTACGTAGGTTAGTACTTAAATAGTGACAATTATTTATTCACGACCGATACAAAAGAGTTACATATTTGCACCTGTTTTTTTTTTCTTGAAGTTTGTTTACCCGGGCGCTCAGTTTCTGGACCATTGTGCACGGGCCCCTTGCGGGGAAAAACCTATGACCGTAGTGGTCCCGCGGGCAGCCCCGATTCCCTTGCAAAGCGCAGCAGTCTAGCCGCCTCTGAGCCTACTAGGTCAAAGTTGTTGGCTGTGGTCCCAAGGACATCATTTCTGACGTCCGCGAGCCCGATCGCATTGAGTTATGAGATGGAGGGACGTATCCTCCCCTTCGCCGCATCTGCCGCAGACTGAGTCTTGTGCAAGGGCCAGTCGCGTAAGGTGCTTTCTAAGGTGCCAGTGCCCGGTGACCAATCCTACAACCAGCCTCAATTGGGCTCGGTCCAGATTGATCAACTCGGTACCTAGCTTCTCCGAGGGCCCTGAAAACAGAGCCTTCGTGTGCCTCATGCCAGGACCTTGCACCCAGAGATCCCTGAAGCGGTCCGTGGCCCACTTCTTAGACCTCCTCCGCATGAGCCCCTCTGACACGCTGATGTAGCATTGGCTTGCCGGATCGTGCCGTGAAGCTCCAAGTCTGGCAAGCTCGTGCGCCCTTTCGTTGCCCTGAACGCCACTATGACCCGGCACCCAAAGCAACCTTACTCTGTTGACACTGCTTAGCCGTCTCAACAAGTCGACACAGTCCTTCACCAGCCTTGACTTTGCATCTGTTACTGTCCTTCAAAATAGTCACCAGCGTTGTGTAGAACCCGTTGCAAGCGATGTGGAAGACGTAAGCATACCATTAGCAGAGCCTGTTCTGTTGATGGTGCGAATGGAGCAGCAGTCTACTGCCATGTCTCATCCCGTGTTACGATACGGCGTAAGGAAGTCTCTCCTTTGCGCTCATAGAGCTCCAAGTGCGTCTGAGCAGCGTCGTAACGCATCCATTTCTGCATTTTCGTCAATTCATGCGAAACCCATCGTGGCATTCGTTTCAGAACTGTTCCAGAGATTCGACAGACAGTAGACCCCGTTCCATTCGTACCATCAATAGAACAGGCTCTGGTAATGGGTTCTACACAATGCTGGTGACTACTTTGAAGGACAGTAGCAGGTGCAAACATGTAACTCTGTTGTATCGGTTGTGAATAAATAATTGCCACTATTTAGGTTCCAACCTACGTATTTGTTAATAATACAGTTTACGTGTAAAATTGTAATCGACAATTTTGTCTATCTATTTAAAAAAAAAAAAATAATCTCTAATAACTGTGACGAATGAAATCATGAATGAAATATCTTCGATGACAATTTACGAGAGAGTCTTTTCGGTTGTTAATAAAAAAAAAAAGATATGATGCAAAATGATAAATAAATTTTATGATACCGAGTTAATTATTATTTTTTTTTTTTTTTACCAGCTTTCAAAGCATGCATAAATAAAATAATAATAATAACATTTCGTGCCTCCGAAAACAAAAACAAAAAACATTTCCGTTCGATTTGTTTTATTTTTTCTTTTTTTTTTTTCAATTTTAAGAATCGATCATTTCGAAATCAATTTGAAACATTTGATTACAATTAAAAAAAGAATTATTATGAAATAATTACAATAAAAATTCTAGATTTATTTATTTCTTTTCAATTATTATAAGTTGGTATTAATATTTAAATAATTTTTTTTTTTTTTTTGTTAAAATTGTTTTTTGTATATTTGAAATGATCGAAATTCTTGTTGTTTCAATAAGCCCACGAATAATAATAATACGACGACGACGACGACGACGACGACGACACCGAAGCATCTTTCAAAATATATATATATCATGCTTTTAAATAATTAATTAATTAATTAATTAATTAATTAATTAAAAAAAAAAGAATTAAATGACATACTGTTCTTCTTGTAGAGCAGAATCTCGAATTGGTCGTGAATTTGGCCCTCGAGACATTCTTCTATCCTTGAAATCGTATCCTTGTTCGTTAATTCCCCGTACATGAATCCACATCGGCATGACTTTTGCATAACCTGTTATAAACAAATATTAGAAATTTGTCTAAATTTAATATTAAATAATTTGATATATTTTTTATTTTAATTCCCATTCTCCTTTCCCTACCCCAATAGATGTACATTTTTGTCATTTGTTCGTAATTACCATAAACAATCATATTATTTACATTTACATTATTTATATTAAATTTATTTATATTTATTTCATAAATTTCTTAATAATAAATTTTGTTTATTATCTTTTATAATAAACGTATTATATATTTAATAAAAATATTTGTGTATAATTTGTAATAAATACAATTACAATACAATTATAATAATTATTATAATACAATGAATAATATAAAATAATAATAAAATATTGTATTGTATTAATTATCAAATTAAATAATTATAAAATTATTACAAATACAATAAATAATAATATATAATATATAATATATAATAATTATTACAATAATACAATTGTATTTAATAATTGTAATAAATACAATTTATTTTGTACAATTTATAAATTGTATCAAAATATGTTGTAATAAATTGTGTTAATATTTAATAAATAACATATGTTTATTATATATTTATTAAATATCTATTAAATTTATCAAAACATATTTCAAATATTTAAATATTATTAGAAATAAATTTATGGAAATTTTTGCGATATACGTGAAACATCAAAATTAATCGAAAACTTTGAATATCTCAATGGTATATAAAATAAATTTATCTCACACACACACACACACATATAAATCTGTAATTTAATATAAATTACGTTAAATGAAAAAAAAAAAAAAAACAAAACTAAATAATACTATTATAATTCTAACATTTGTCATGTTAAATGAAACAAAGCATTTATGTGTGATATCGACATGTTTTATTGTATCAAACAAATCGGTTAATTCAAGCTACGTTTAATATTGCAATCCACATTTCTAATACCAATAGATATATATATGTAGTATATTATCTATATAAAGGGCAAAGGTCTTGTCAGAAGGTCGATAAATAGGATTGGATTTTATACCTCGGCACGATTGTAACCAGAGATCTTGCAAAAGGTTTCGTTGCAATAGACGATCGGGAAGTCGACGATCTGTGCATTTGCCAATAAGAAGCTGCTGTCAGCTGTGAACAGAAAATAAAGATAATATAAATAAAATTCAGTTCTTTTTATTATTATTATTTTTTGTAGTGAAAACTTCCTTAGAATAATCAGGATGATTTGAAAATCGTTAAATGGAAGGAACGTGAAACGGTAGAAACCGTGAAACCGATGAAACAAAAATAATTATATTAATTAATTAAATTTAATATATTATTTAATTTTATATATTAATTAATTCATTAATTATTATATATATATAATTAAGTATTATATTGTATTTTTCAAAATAAATGAAATTACAAATTGAAAATTAATAGTCATCTTACATTTGTACAATTGTATACAATTGTACAATATTGTATACAATTTTGTAACGAAGATTCATCTCATATGTGATTGTAAGTTTAATATAATTTGATAAGGTTGTAATTAATATATAAAAAAAAAAAAAAAATAAACAAATAATATCGTATTTTTCAAAAACATTAAATTACAAATTGAAAATAAAAGTCATCTCAAATTTGTGTACAATTTTGTAACGAAGATTCATCTCATATTTGTTTGTAAGTTTAATATAATTTAATAGAGTTGTAATTAATATAAAAAAAAAAAAACAATAAACAAATCACACATCGTATTTTTCAAAAACATGAAATAACAAATGGAAAATAAAATTCATCTTAAATTTGTACAATTGTATACAATATTGTATACAATTTTGTAATGAAGATTCATATATCATATTTGGTTGTAAATTTTAAAGTTATTTAGGACACCTAGTATAAAAAAAAAAAAAAATAACTCAGACATATTTGTTTGTTTTTCTTGTATGCAAATACATATACATACATACACAAAAATACTGTATAGATATAAATACAATATATATTTGTGTGTGTTTATATGAATGCAGTATTTTTCATTTTTGACTTTAGTGATCGAGAAACACCTGTCTATATTTGATATCCGTCATAAATTTTCATCGAGTAGTTTAAGCTTTTACCTTTAGGTTGGTCATATCTCGTCGTCTACACAAAACACAACCAGACAGCATCAGCGCAACAACCAAAAGTATTGTCCATTTTTGGTTGTACGAACCGAACGGAAGAACGAACACACTAGATTACGCTTCGTATCTCACGTTCGACATTTCTTCTATTTTTTTTTTTTTTCTTTATTTCCTTTTCAACGGAGTAATAGTTTACGTTTATCCACTTTAGCGTAAGATTTTTATCGAACGAAACGATAAAACAGGTCAGTTGGTTTCGATCCCTTTTTCTTTTTTTTTTTGTAGGAATTTTTCCTTTTCTATTATTTTGAAATAAATTTTGAATTTTCTTTTTTCCTTTTTTTTTATTTGTATGAAATATGTTTTTTAGCTTTTTTTTTTATGGGGGGGGAGGGGAGGGGTTTGCTTTGTCTGTTAATTTTGTAACTGTTTGTACTAGAAAAAAAAAAACAAAAAAACAAAAAAAAATATGTTAACAAAAATTTGTTTACGATGATAAATTCTTTTTCTAACGTGTGTGTGTGCTCTTTTCGAAGCGAATCGAGTGAACGAGTTGACGAGAATCGATCGTCTGGGGTTACTCTAAAGCTAAAAGGCTTGTCGACCTTGGAAATATCTCGGCCGGTTAAATAATTAGGATGTGTATCTCGAATAGAAAAAAAAACCCAGAAAAACTAAAAAAAAAAAAATAGAAAAAAAATACAAAATCCTTTCGAAAGAAACAAAAGAATTCCAAGTTAAAATAAAACAAAAAGAAAGAAAAAAGTATAACACAATTAAGTCAGTTATTAATTTGACAAATTATAAAATAAAAAAACAAATGATCATTATTATTTAATAAGTAATTACGTGTGTCACGTTGTTTGTCCGCAATGGACTCTTAAATTACTGAACTGATTTTAATCAAATTTTACACACTGTATGCAGTTTTATCCAACTTGAAAGATAGGATAGTTTATATCTCAATTTATAATCGCAATATTATTTTATTACGAATTATTTGTGTATTAATTAATTAGAGTCATGATTATCTCTGTTGTAAGTTCGATAAGATTCTAACAGATGGCGGTATGAGGTAATTCGTTGATTTAAAGACGTGTGTATCCGATTGATTGTGAGCTACAGCAATTATAGTATTTATATTTATTTATAATTTAATTATATAATATAAATTATATTATTTATTATTAAATTATAATATAAATTATAAATATAAAAATATGATCACATTATTATAATCCTAAATTCGATTAATTTCTAATAATAATTAAGAATAATTTTTCAAAACCATGCAAAAAGAAGAATAAATGGAAACTTTTGCATTAAGGATTGCGGTATTTAGTATAATAAAGATTAAATAACTTTTCGCGTTTCTCCTACGTGTCTTTTGTTAGTCTATTAAATGACACACACATACACACACACACACACATATTCATATAATATATAAATATACATCTAATACTTATACATGTAAAACAAAGTTGCATAAAAGATATGTACGTATTTAGATAAAGAAACATACATACATACATACATACATATATGAACTTGTTTCCACAGGGATAAACACAGTGACGTTGCTAGACGTGTACATAAGTCTCTTGTGCATAAGTTAAATTCCAATATGAGTATATATGTGATACATGTATCTGTAAATGTATATGTGAGTGTGAACAAGCATTAGAACACAAGTTTTGCCGTTTGCCACATTTCGTGCTCGTTTCGTAGACGCATACTTATAAACTCGGTCGTTTGGGGGTATATAACGGGTCAAGGCCAAATGCATTATGGCTAATATATATAACCTACGTATATATAAGACTGTATGTGTATACATATATGTATGCTGACTAAAGTAACAGCAGTATCTAACAAACACATATATACACACGTATACAGTAGAGCTTTAGATAAAGCTAAATCCTAACGTTACCTTTATGTGTGTGTGTGTATTAGTGTGTATAAGTTTATCTTTTTCTTCTTTGTTTTTTTTTTTTTTTTTTTTCAAATCGATGTACCCATTTGTTTGTTTATTTTAACAATATATATAGTATTATCATGTTTGATTTTTCTATTATTTTATTTATTATTTTGAAAAGTTGTTGTTTGTGTATAAATTTAATGAAATTGTTGTTAAATGTATTGATATTGAATTAAATTAATTTTGTTTAAATTGAAAAATTATTTGATAATTTATTTGAAATTGTTATTAGAAAAATTGATCTAGGTATTTATATGTATTTATTTAAATATTTAAATTAAATTCCTTTTTTTTTGTTTTTAATTAAAAAAAAATTATTTACTTAAAAATTATTTGATAATTTATTTAAGATTATTTAGTAATTTATTTAAAATTGTTATTACAAAAATTTATCTAGGTATCTATATGTATTTATTGAAGTATTTAAATTAAATTAATTAAATAATAATAATAATAAATTAAACCTATTAATTAATTAATTAATTAATTAATTAATAATAAAATTAATTTTTTTTTGGTTTTAAATAGAAAAATTATTTACTTCGTTGTAGTAAAATTATTTGATAATTTATATATATATTTCAAATTATTTATTTATTTAAAATAATATATATATATATATATTTTTTTAATTGTAATTTAATTGATAATAATAATTACCAAAATTTATTTACGTATCCTATGTATTTACTTAAGTATTTATCTCTATCTTTCTGTAATCTATTCCTTCTTCAACTAAGTATTTGAAAATGAACACCCTTGTTAAGGTACTTACTCTTGTACAGGAAATTGTTATCGACTCTACTGACGGTGTTAAACTGTAATGAAAGGCACTACGAAATTACCGATCAATTTGACTTTGTCTAAATTAATTACACATATATACTCGATAACCTTTTCTAAATCATACTATATGCTTAATTTTAAACGTTTTCATCATCAACTGTAAATAATTAATGAAAATTAAAAAAAAACCAAAAATTGTTTTTATCAGTTATTTCATACCACATGTTATTTTAACCAGTTGACTGTATAATTTAGTTTCAAATGATCACCACAGGGTGTGTGGAATTAAAAACAAGCAAATGACGTGTATACACGTCGAACGCACTTAACTGGTTAAACTGTATAATTTGTAATATAAATAACAAATAATTTATCGAATTAATGTTAACTTGTACAATCTTTGATGTATCATAATCATCCGTTAACTTGTCATCTCCACTTAAGTGGTTTAATAGAAATTCCCCCCCCAAAAAAAAAAAATAGCAATAAAGAAAAGGGATTGAAGGGATTGAAAGGAAGAGAGGTGGGGGAAAAGAGGAACTCGTTGCAAATTGCATGAACTGTAAAAAGGTATCGATTGTGGTCGATAATACGGTTAACTCGAGTAAGTTAATCGGGTCAGTTCGAGAGTATCGATTAGGTTTAATATTTCTTCCTGAAAAAAAAAAAAAAAATACAGTGAAAAAAAGGACCAAAAAAAAACAATTAAGGTGTAAGATAAATAAAAAGGAAAAAGAAACAAACAAAAAAAAAAAAAATAAGGGAGTGGGGAAAAGTTCAAAAAGTTTCGCGACACGATGGAAAAAGATATTATTCGAATCACGTACTCACATTTCACCGATGTGATCATTCCCTTTGTAGGAGGGTTCGAGGGTTAAAGGTGAGGGTGAGGATGAGAAAAGTGGGTTGAATCGAATAGACAATTCTCTTTTTCTTTTCGTCTAGTTTTTTCTTCACATTTTATTATAAGTCTTAAAGGTAAAATCATAAAATTTCGATGAGAAAAAAGAGAGAGAGAGAGAGAGAGAGAGATATACGGTATTTTATGCGAATCACGTGACTTTTGTAATATTATGATGACACACACTTGTGTGTGAGAGAGAGAGAGAGAAATAGAAAAAAAAACTTTGCAAATTTTAGACAAAATTATTATGCGAATGATTATCATAGTCATTATTATTATTATTATTATTATGATTGTTATAATTGATGAAAATGAAGATTAATCTCTGGAGAAACAA